CTCCTAGTAGTAAGGCCAGGAGCCCCTAGTAGCTTCTTGTTCCTAGTGGCGGTGCCCTTTGCTCCTTGCTCCTAGTAGCGATGCCCTTTGTTCCTAGTAGCGTCCTAGTAGCTACTAGGCCTACTTTCATTTGATCTAGATTTCAATCCTTAGGAATCCTCTCATGAGGCACATCGTTCTTTGAATCAGGGCAGTCCGTGGTGTGGGTGCCCTGGTTTATGAAGACCCATTGTTGCAGCCCTTGGTTGGGGTCTTGAAACGAGGCCAATGAGCATCAGCTCAATGTTCCAGCACCTTGGTGGCAGCTGTTGCAGGGTTTCTATCCGTCTCAATCCTTTGCCAAGAAAGCAAGCTCCCTGCTAAGATGTGGACGATTTGATGCATACTTGCAAAACATTGCAAAGCCTTGCACGGTTATTTGTTGACTTGGTTGGAATCGCATCACGGAGTCCTTCGTGAACTATGCACGACTTTGACAGTTTCGGAGTAGCAATTCAAAAGAAAACACTGATTCAATCCTCTCACAGGTTTTGACCTGATAATCTTTCATTGTTGAATTGAAACTGCACTCAATCACTGAAGTCCGGTTGTAGCCATTTGTCACCGTGGTGCTGACTGGTCTACAGTACATGGCTGCAGGTCTACCATGCCATGCTATGCTGCTTCGGCGAGCCGGGCTTCCAGCGTGAAAGGGTTTCTTGCAAAGCAGTGCCTGCGACAGTTTCTTGGATTTTTCAGGAGCCTCCGGGCCTCCAGCAATAAGATATGATAAGATCAGAAAATATCAAATATATAGGCAATTTATTGCAATTTATTATATATCTAACAGGGATCCGGGAAACAGGAATGAACTGATAAGAAAGATTAATGCCCATTGGTATCATTATTGGAGGTCCAATCAGCGGGGCATTCTAATTGACCTTCAGTTCTGCAGGGAAGCACTGCTGGGCGGTTCCGCACATGAAGCAAATCCGTTTCAACATCTCATTTCCCCAGGTTTTCCGTCCTCTCAGATTCCGCCCCTCCAAAAGGGGCGTTGACAAACGCCAAGGATGTCGAAGATGGATTTGTGAAGCCCAGCGTGTTTTGGACCCGACAGATCTCCGGACAGCTGCACTTCCGTTCCCTGGCTCACGCCCTGCTGAAATGGTTTGCGGATTTGGCGAAGGAAGACCCGAGGCCTGGAAGGATTTGTGCTTGAAAGCGTTTGGACCTTTTTGGGTCGTGTTTGGACCCAATTCCATCCAATTCCAATGTCGCCTGTTGCCGCCAGATGACATTCTTGAAAACAAGTGTATCAGCAGGATTCCATGTTGCCCAGTGGCCCTACCACTCACAGGAAGCAACTCTTAGTGAACATCCTGCTGCAGCTGCATGAAGCCTGCTACAACTGCGTGGGGCGTCACAAGGAAGTCTTTGAATATTGCATTTACGATTTGCTTGACGCAGAAGATGGAGAGTGCGCAGATAGTTCTAAGAGAGTTGTGTGTCGACACGCAGCAGCATTTTTGGACAATCACAAGCGCAATGCATTGCACGCAGCGTTCTTGTCACCATTGAAGTATGTCTTCCAGAATGTCTATGAAGTGTTCGAGAACTTGGACAGCGGCTCAGCTTGCAACCAGTGGATGTACTCATGCTAGTGCAGCCAGGCGGTTGGGGCGTTGCACCCGTTTGCATCACAAGGGGGCACGGCCAATAATAGGCCGAATATACATGAAAATTTGATGTTTTGTCATGAGCAGGTCAACATTATAAAATGGCCCGTAGCCCTTTGTCGATCCGCCCCCCAAACTAAATGCCAAAGTGCAGTGGTTTCCTGGTGTTCCTCAGCTGTGCCCACATACAAGACATCCATATATTGACCAATGGCTTTAGTCAAAACATTTGATTTGAGGCCACAGGTGAACTTGTTCTATTTTTTGTTGGTGCTGTTTGCAGAGATTTCCATTATCAAACATCCGACACTTAAACTGGAAGGCAGTGTGATGTTTCCGGCAAAGGGGCTCAGACTATTGTGCCGGGCACTCTTGAATGAAGGTGTGGTGGTCTAACTCAGCTTGTGAATAATAAACAGGGCATCCGTGCGCAAGCAGGCAATGTGAAGCATGTCGGCCTGGCACGGAGTTTGAAGCAAGCCAGATCAAGCCACGAAAAAGCGTTGAACACCGTCATAGATATTATATGTACATAATATATTATATATATGCTTTCGTTAGCTGTATATAACATTAATATCAGTATGCATTTATATAGTATACATTCAAATGCATAGACGCACGCAAGGATCATTTTGGGTTGCACAGTGTACTGGTTGGGTTCTTAATCAATGTGCCTGAGCAAACTGCTCCGCAAACACGCTTTGCTGGAGGTCATGGAGCTTCCTTTTGGGTGGCTGTGCTGCATGTCTTTTTTCCTGATCTGGACATGCCATTTGAAAACATTGAAGCCCTGGACATTGGTTGGGCGTGGGGAGCAGTGGATTTTCTTCCGATGCCTCTTGGATGTGCGATAAGCCGCAAATGCGAAGGACTTCCCCGACGTGAGCAGTGACCAAACAGACGCCAAAAACCATGGAGGGGGACTCATGCTAACCGCCAACCTCCCTGTCAAATGCCATGTGACATGTGCTGCTTTTCTACAGGACATTAAATGAGTTTAAATTGCATTAACTGCACTCTTCATTCAAGAAAACACCTTCGCAGCCTTCGCAAAGCATTTGCCAACGCTCATGCGTCCAAGAGGACATCAACCACGACCACAGCAATCAATTCGAAAGGAATCATGGGGACAAGGGGACAGGTTCAAAAGGATTTCAAACATGCACTTGGAGTTTCATAATTCATGATTTAGAAGAGAGAGAGAGAGAGAGACACACAAACAAATCACAGGAATCATAAGAATCGACATTCATAGGAATCATGGTTAACACCGGCAACCGCAGGCCACCAGCATGAATCATATAGAATATTATAAGAATCATTGGCCATCCAACGGGTCAAAGATCGACTCGTTTGGACAACTCGATCGACTCGGTCTTCCTCGTCCAAGGATGGAAGGCTCTGGCTCCGTGGCCTTGGCGCGCTTCTCGGATCCCAAGCATTTGGGCCAAGACTGGCGAACGTTGACCCGAGATCTGCGGCCACCGCGATGGGCAGGCGTGCCACGGTTCCGGGGCTTGCCATTGAGACACGGGCCGGCTGGCTTCAAAGAAGCATGGCAACAAAAAGTTGAGTTGGATTTTGTCAAGTGCCAGTTGAGTTCGATTTTCTGCATGTTTTCTAGAGATCAGAATTGCATGCTATCGTTTGTAAGGATGCTTTGCGCCGTATTCGCCAGCAGCCTGCCCTGCAGCGTGCTTTCGCATGCTACATTGACAGGTCAGGACTGCACCAAGTGGTATTTGATGTTCTGAAGTTCAAGGGCATTCACACCCATGCCTGGTAGCATAAATAGAGGGAGACAGAATGCGATCTTTTGGATCCAGCCCTTCACATGCCAGGTGATGCACTGGAAATAGAGATGTGATGCTATGTGCAACAAAGCGATGTAGTAAACAATGAGCCATTGCCCATTGCAATACAATACTTATGTTAAGCATATTTTGAACACGTGCTCCAACTCTACTCAATATACAGGAAGCTTTTCAAAAAACGACCTCAAACTCAGGGCTTAGCAGGCTGCATCGGTGCTTCGGTAGGTTTACCAGCTTCTTCACCCCTGCTGTGCTCCTGCAGCGCTGGGCCTACTACACCGTCACCTCCGAGCGTTGGGACATGGAGCTGGGCCCAGCGCTGGTGGCGTTGCGGGGAGAGAGGAGCTGTGGCGTTGAAACGGGAGCAGATCAGCTGCGAGAAGAGCTGTGCAGCACGGAGGGGCAGGTGGGGGATCAGGGTCTTGTTGTTTCGATGAGTGGAGGAAGATTGACACCAGTTGGGACCGTTGGAATTGATCAGGATCCATGATTTGAGGGGGTTGAGGATTATGATGGCCTGTATGTGCTTCAAGTGTACTCCTGTTTGCATTAACCTGTGTGCTATGCAGTGAACAAGTACACACGCCGGGCGGAAAAAGCCGGAGAGTTTCAGCATACGCAGCGTACAGTTGGGAGTGCCATGGAGTGCCGGTAGGATGGATTACGATGGATTGAATCCTGGACACATGACATGGATTGAAGTGCCTCAGAATTCCTGCCAGGTAAATTTAAGTGTCGCCTCCGCTCTTTTGGAAGCAGCTGGAGTCTCCTGGGCCAAGTTGGTGTAGCGAGCTGCGAGAAAAGGCCGAAGCACTGCTTGAATGGAAGGCTTGAAGCGGAAGTTGTGGCTTCTAAGAAACGGTTGTATCATGTTATATAATGTTATATATGTGTAAGCGGTTTGTATGGGTGTTGTGTGGTTCCCTACTAGTAGGCATCCTTCACCTTAAACCTTTCAGAGGTGGCGATCAGCACTGGATCCACGGCTGGTGGCTGAGACGGCTCCAACATCCGACGCTGAGGCCAAGTGGCACGGCGGGTGCTGCCAACAGGACGGGTGCTGCCACTCAGGGAGGCCTTGAAAGAAGTCCGGGTTTTCAACACATGGTGAGCTTGGATTCGTCATCTCATAATCCTGACATTACTTCCTTCAAATGTCAAGATTGGTCAACTAACTAACTAGGCGCGGCTCGGCAAATCTTTTTGGAGGTCATGTTTAATCCTTCTACCTTCACGTCAGCAGAGGGTGACCTCAGCTTTTGCCATTGCGCCAGTCAACTCGGTCGGAGATGCCGTAAGAGCCAACGGAGCTACCTCAGGACCCATTCGGGAATACACGTTGCGCAATTTGGATGAGGCTTTCGCCTACGCCTCAGCACCCACACAACTTTATTTTTGTATATTTTTGTTCTACTACCACAGTGCTTTCAGAGGCTCAGACAGTTGCAGGGTGCCATCAAGGCTAAGTGTTATTAATCATTCTCCCACCGAACAATATTGTAGGCATGCAATCAAGCATTCCAAGCAAATTCAGCATCACAGATGTGGCACATGATGCACGGCACAATACCTTTCTCATGTTCGGTTGGTTTCCTGAGACTGACATAGCAGTTCGGGGCCTGGAAGCATTTTTTGGGAGCAAGAGGCGGGCGGAACGCCCAGCGCTTGACGCCCAAGAGGGACGAACAAGCCAATCGTTGATCCAACAGCATTGATTTCAGCAGAAACCCATCAAATACAAGCTGACCCAACACCCAACTGATCCAAGGCCCAGAGCGACACAGAGAAGCGAGGTGTCCTGGAGGCTCCTGAGGCGAGATGGTGGGCACCGGGAGTCTCATGCAATTTGTATGTTGCTGTCCTCGTCACAAGCCTTGGTTCTTTGATGTGCTTTCTATTTTTATATACTGTCGTATATACCGTATGTGTATTTGCTTGGGGTTTTACGTGTTAATATGTTTAGCAGCTAGATAGGTGGAATGATTTTCCCTCGAAGGCTTTCGTTTGAACCCAGAGAGGTTGAACGGGCACAAGTGAGGGGAGGATGGGGAGGGGCACTGTTTCCAGGGATCAGCAGCAAACCGTTCCAATGTCTTGAGAGCCTGACCTAGCATGCTATTTTCGTGGATTGGTGTGACGTATGCTTCCACCAGAGGGACCAGCCAGCATCTACCGGCAACACTTGGTTGGACCAAGCCTTGCTGTTTGATCGTGATGGATGTTTGAAGTGATAGAAGTGCAACATGTTAAAGGAGCCGGTGTTGATGAGACATGATGAAACTAGGTCATTCAGTCCGTAGCAGTAGCAGTACTTTAGGAGCTCATTCCGCTGGCTTGTCAAGCGTTGGAGCACTGTTGGCTTGGCGCCTTGTTGCGGCTGAGGCCCTCCAACTGCTTCAGGCCTTGTCCAAGCCAGGGCTAACCTGCCCGAAAGCCCAGTGGCAAACGTGCTACCAGGGGCCGAAAGTCGACATAAAAGCAAGAAATGCTCCCCTCACGCGGCAGGTTGTGCGTTTCGGATCAAGCTCTGAATGAAAAGACATGAAGAGCTCTGACTGGAGGCCCTTTTAGGGCTTGTGGAGAACATGTGTTTGGCCACGCCCGATTCGCCATGCCGATGGTGCGGAGTTCGAAAACCATTGGGACTCCGGTGGGCAAACCACTGGGGCCCTCCGAGGCAAGTCAAATGGTTTCAAGCCACGAGTGATTGAAGGGTGATGGCTTGGCTTGAAATCGAACAATTACACTCCTCCCTGTCTAGAGATTTGGAAAGGGCCTCCTTGTGTCAGCGACCCAATCCCTGCAATTCCCTGCTTGCTGGAGTCCTGGACCTTAAAAAGCTTGTGAGCACACTGAACATCACAGAACGTGTTGTATCGCTGTGCAATCCAAGGCTCAGACATGAGTCACATGCTGGAGCAAGAGCTGGGATTACATGTGCGGAACTTAAAGACCCTCCTGCTACTGACCCTCTCCATATGCCGCTCCTGGCTTAACCCTCTACACGTGGAATTGACCTCTGTGGTAGGACCAATAAGACAAGGACTGGAGTTGTTTTGTGTTGCTACAGTTTTCTCTGGGGAAGTGGGAAGTCCAAAGTCTACAGGAGGACTTGGAATGATGCTGCATCATGTTGGTCCGCAGCCCACACTTTAGAAGAGGTTTGTGGCAACGATAGCAGTTAGTAGCAACAATTCGGTGTCCACGTTCAGTGGCACCAATATCTTTGCTTTGTCCTTCAGGTTGATTTTTAGAGAGTGAGTTGCGGAAAGTTGTATTTTCCTGAAGCATGAGTTGAGGCGCAACAAGTCAGTCCTAGTTGGGATTTGTCCGGACGAACACATGGAGGGGTGGGCGCATTGAAATCATCGGGAAGAGACTACGATATAGACTATTTAGTGGCGGATCACTATCACTTTGATTGGTGGATCGCTATGGATCGCTCGGGAGGAATTTGCTATCCCATCTATCCCTGGCATCTTGGAAGAGAGAATGGGGAATATCATCACCATTCATCACCACACCTACTTTCAACACTACCCTCTTTGCTGCTTGTACTTTTGGGTGAGGGGAGGGTGTTAAACGCATATTATATATTGTAATATCTATATTTGTTTGTTTGGTAGATGAACATGTAAGCTTTGGCAGCTTGATGGATCTTGACAGGCCCATTGAACTTTGTGCAGCCAGCATGTGGACCCACTGTCTTCACCATTTCTTCGCACCAGCTATACAGGTCCGGTGAACATGATGCATTTGAGAGCAGTCTTACAACGCTCGAAGTGCAGAACGCCAACCAAGGTGCTGGTTGTAGACATTTCAACTCATGGGCTGAGGTCCCAAAGCACGAACTACAAAGATACTTTGCCATGCAGGGAGCTTAGATCGGCCCCAACATCGCAAAGCACTCTTGAGAAAAGATTGCGTTCGTGCTTATGTGCTTGCCCTGCTTGAGCAAACCACTTTCAGGATGGACATCAACAACGACGGTGTTTTGCAGTGCGATGAGTTTGTGCAAATGGTCCGTTTCTTGATGCCATTCGCTTGCACCAAAGCATCGGAGCTTGTTCAAAGCATCGGAGGTCTCCGAGTCTCCTCGCAGGTGATAGCTAGTTCGCCACAGTTTCATCAATTCATATCAAAGCCATAACGACTATAGATTTGCTTGTGGAATCTTCACAGTAACTTTGTTTTGGATTTTGTCCTGTCATGCTCAAGTGACATGAGTTTCATCGGCGTACATTATAACCACATTGAATCGGGAAGACTAGACAATGTTGGATCTTAATTGGCATAAGCACCCCCCTAGCAAATAATCCAGGGTGTGTGAAAAGTATCACCGCCACAAAAACAGTTAGTAGTAGCAGTAGTAGCAGTAGTAGTAGTAGTAGCAGTAGTAGTAGTTAGTAGTAGTAGTAGTTGTTGTTGTTGTAGTTGTAGTTGTAGTTGTAGTTAGTAGTAGTTAGTAGTAGTTAGTAGTAGTTAGTAGTCGTTAGTAGTAGTTAGTAGTAGTTAGTAGTAGTTAGTAGTAGTTAGTA